GAGAGTGGACGAAAGAGGGAAAGACAAAGAGAAATATCAATGAGAGAGAAACACATTAATTGGTTGCCTCCTGCACGCAACCTGACCAGGGCCTGGGCTGGAGAGGAGTCTGCAACAGAAGTACATGCCCTTGATCAGAATCAAACCTGGGGCCCTTCAATTTGCAGGCCAATGCTCCATCCACTGAGCCAAACTGGCTAGAGCTCTATAGCCTACATTACAATATTAGCAAATCATTATGTTTGATGTTACGTGTTTCACTGATTCACTAATATTCATTGGACAAATGTCAAACACTGTTAAGTGGCAGAAATAACAAAGACTACTAAAACAGAGGCCCTCAAATAGCTCACGATCTGGTGTGGAGACAGACATCTTTAGAGTAAACTCAATATAAGGTATATAACTATTTGAATTGAGAACATATAAGAGAAACCCCAAGATAATACCGGTTAAGCACATATGGGATTTACTTGCTCACAGGAAAAACAAAAACAAAAATAAGATGTAAATCAGTCCAAGTAGGATCTGGAACCAGCTCTTTCTCTTTCTGCTCTACTTTCCTTAAAGCAAGGTTCCCATCTCAGAACTGTCCCTTCTTCAGGACAGCAACCTTAAAGCAAGGTTCCCATCTCAGAACTGTCCCTTCTTCAGGATGGCAGGAAGGCAAAAGACAGAAGGGACCTTCCCCAGCTAAGTCAACTTGTTTAAGTAGCCTTCCCAGACGCCCCTCACACTTCCACTTTTATTTCACTAATTACAACTTGGCCACATGACCCATGAGAAATGTATTCTTTTCACTGGATATATTGCCACCGAAAAAAATTTGAGAAAACTAAGGAAGATGGATATTGGGTGGCAACCAGTTATCTCTGCCCCATGGAGTTATGCACAAAAGGCTGAGGAAGCAAGAAAGCAGTTAACTCTGGAACCTGGGAAAGGCTTTTTTTTTTTTTAAGGAGACAATTTGGTGTTTGAAGGATGAATAGGAGTTTGCCAAATAAAGAATTGGGAAAGTTTGCCAAATAAAGCTTGCCAAATAAAGAATTATTTCCAGGCAGAAATAACAACATGGAGGGGTCTGACATTTTACCTGCCAATGAAGCCCATTTCTTATTCCTGATTTTCCTCTGTTATTAATAGAACTCTTAGAATAACAGTTTAACTAGTTTTTAATTAATCAAATAGTTATAAGAGATCAACAGATTAAGGTATGTCAACAACAATTTTCCTGATGTAACTGCAAATAATTTTCCACTTGGACCAAAATAAGAACATTTATCTGATGATAAAGTATTCCACATTTTAAAAATAATTGAGTTAGAAGACTTTGGCATCTTAAAAAGGAATTGATACGGAGAGAGGGAAAGCAGTTGTGTCAGGGCGATGTTTGTCTTTTCAATTCTGAAGTTAAACAAAGCCCATTTAGAACTGACTCGGTTCATATCTCGGGGTCCATAAACGTACACCGAGAGCTTTTGGTGGTCTGCCCAAGTCAGCCTGAAAATATGTCACCTTCCATTTAGCTACTCCTAACATCACTGTTATTTTGGATGTGTGGAGCTGGACTGTTCTTTTCTTTAAATGGCTGTAGAACCATAAGAAATATTTAGGATTAGGGAGATTTTCATGATTATCTTCTTTTTGGCCCCTTGAGAAAAATCAGAGCCTATTAAAAATTTTCCCAGAGAAACTTAAATCGTTTGAGAAACCTGAAATTTCTTTAATTTGAGAAATAAACCTAGTTAGCTTTGAGATACCTGAGTGTAAATTCCCATATCCACTGCCCACCTTGTCCCTCCACCAAGCTGAGTATCTTCCCAAATCCAAACAAAAGCAGCAGAGGCAGCAATTCTTTGAATACTGCTTAAATTAAGATTGCCATGTTTCCTCAAAAGATTCAGCCCTAAGGAGATCAGATGACTTCATCTTCTGATATTTTGATGTGTAGTTGTAGTTTGTGTTGTCAAGCTTTGCTTTTTGCTTACTTTCTTTTTTAAATTTTTATTTATTTTAGAGAGAGAGAGAGGAAGGGAAAGAGGGAAGAAGAGAGAGAGAGAGAAAGACATTGATTTATTGTTCCACCTATTTCTGCATTTCATTGGTTGATTCTTATAGAGGCCCGACCGGGAATCAAACCCACAACATTGGTATATTGCAGTGGTTGGCAAACTCATTAGTCAACAGAGCCAAATATCAACAGTACAATGATTGAAATTTTTTTTGAGAGCCAAATTTTTTAAACTTAAACTTCTTGTAATGCCACTTCTTCAAAATAGACTCACCCAGGCCGTGGTATTTTGTGGAAGAGCCACACTCAAGGGGCCAAAGAGTCGCATGTGGCTTGTGAGCCACAGTTTGCCAACCACTAGTATATTGGAACAACTCTCCAACCAACTGAGCTACCTAGTCAGGGCCTACTTTTTGCTGACTTTCTAATTAGCTAGTATCTAGGCAGGACTAAAATATTCTGTAAATCCCACAGTAACACATACCCTTTTCCTAGTTATTCTGAGTCTTTATTTATATCTCAGCTCAAAAGATGCTTCCTTAGGGACATCATCTCTGGCCTCTCAAACCAGATCAAATTCTTTATGCTCTTGCAGTCCCTGTATCTGTGTTTTATAGCTCGTATGGAGACTATCATTGTACAGAATTGTATTTGGTAATTTGAGTAATTGATGCCTCCACCACAAGGCTCTAAGTCCCATGAGCTTGGACCCCAATGTGCTTAAACTCCCCATTGGATTTTGTTCCTCACACTGGGCCTGGCCCATAGCAGATCTTTGATCATTGTTGGCTAGGATGATTAAATGCCTTTTTGGTAAATAAATTACTTCTGCACTCCCATTGCACACTGTGCTTAGACATGAGAGTGAAGACAGAAGTTGTTCAGCTCAGGTGTGGGTTCCTTTGTAAAGTAACTTTGCTGCAGTCGAATAGAAGCACAATGAAGAAATCTTAGGCCAGCATGTGCTTGGCTCTGCATGGATGGCAGTTGGTGGAATGCTGACGGGGTCTCCCTGCAGCCTCTGAAGCTACTGAGGGTATGGCTGCTTCACAGTGAACCCCTCCAGATGGAGTTAGCCTACCTTTGCTTCCCACGTAAGAGCCCAGCACTATGTTTTCTAAATGACATCTTTGCATTTCAAAAAAATGTACAACTGTTGAAGGAGTTGGTACTTTGTCATCTATTTTAAAAGATACCTGTGTGGCCTGGCGGGAGTGGCTCAGTGGATTGAGCATAGACCCATGCTCTAAGACAGTGGTCGGCAAACTCGTTAGTCAGCAGAGCCAAATATCAACAGTACAGCGATTGAAATTTCTTTTGAGAACCAAAATTTTTAAAATTTAAACTTCTTCTAATGCCACTTCTTCAAAATAGACTCGCCCAGGCCGTGGAATTTTGTGGAAGAGCCACACTCAAAGGGCCAAAGAGCTGCATGTGGCTCTCGAGCCAAAGTTCGCAGACCATGGCTATAAGCTATCCCCTGTTCGATTCCTGGTCAGGGCACATGCTTCTAGCTCTCTCCCTCTCCCTTTCTTTCTAAAATCAATAAAAACATATTTTTTAAAAAGATGCCTGTTTTTAATGAAAAAAAAAACACATTAATACCTTTAAAAACATAGTATATTTATAACACAATGTTAAATAATTACATTTTTCTAGCCTTTCCCTAAACATGTGTTTGCTATTATTAATTAAAGGTAGCATGGGGAGACGTGGGCAAAATGGAAGGATAAGAACACATACTGATACCTTAATCAATAAAGAAAAATAAATAAATTTAAAAAAAGAAAATTCGGCCTCAAAAAAGAGTTTTGAAAGACAAGACAAATTGAGGAGACTGTGGAGATAAGCCCCTTCAAATGTCATCACAGTTCTCATTTGAGTTTGTCAAAGACTGAGGTTGAAATCATTTGGGAGTGGAATATGCCTTTTGATATTAAATCTACTGAGAACTATAGATATACAATGTTGGAATTAAGATTTGAATCTTTTTTTTTAACTTTATATTGGAAAGGAAAGAGTAAAAATACAAATGAGTTTGCCATATACTTGATAAATGTTTGTAATTTTGTTAAACCTGACTTGAACTAAGCATAATATTTTTATAGATACATTTAGAACTGGGCTACTGATTGACTAAGTGACCTTGGCAAGACTCATGACCTCACCTATAAAATGGGGCTATCTCGTGTGATTGTTTGGAGAATTACTGAGTTATGCATATTGTGCCTGGCGGGAGTGGCTCAGTGGATTGAGCATAGACCCAGGCCAGGCCAGGCACACAGCAGGCTCTCGGTGCTGGTTATCTCTGCTACCCTGCTGTCAATCCTCCTCTCCCACTACTCACACACACATGAGCCTTGTTTCTGTCGGCTGATTCTGTGACTCCCATTCTCTTCTCATAGCTAGAAAAATAAGGATTTTCATCATCATTCAGCAAGTATTTATTTAAGTCCTACAACTTGCCAGGCACTGTTTTAGTTGCTTGGAATACATCAATGAACTCAAGATACAAAACTCCTGCCCTTATGTATCTTACATTCTAAGGAATATACGGAGCATATAGATTATTCGTTATATTTCTCTTATTACAGTAACCTCATGGTTTTGTGTATGTGTATGTGTGTGTGTGTGTGTGTGTGTGTGTGTGTGTGTGTGATTTAAGGGAATCGTAATTATTGACAGTGGGAATTATTTTTGAATGAAAGTTCTGTAATATCAATAGTGCCAGATCATCTTCTCACTCACATCTTTCCCCCTTCCTCCTTCCCTGCCTCTCTCTCCATCACTCCTATCTTTGGGTTTGTTTATTTGAGCTATAAAAACATCTTTATCCATGTTGTTTTTTTCTTCCTTAGCTTGATTCAAATTCCAGCTGAATTCAGTTCCCTTCATAGGAATCATGCTTTATGCCTCCCCAAAGACAATGGGGGATCCAGGGTCCAGCAGTAGGCACCTGGTTGAATTACACATCTCTCTTTCTTATTAGATTGTTGGCTGTGATCATCAGCTGGGAAGCATTGCCAAGGAAGATAACTGTGGAATTTGCAACGGAGATGGGTCCACCTGCAGGCTGGTCCGAGGGCACTACAAATCCCAGCTCTCAGCAACCAAATGTAAGATGCTACAGAGATGGGGCAATCTGTGGGCCTTTTGACTTGTTAGCTCCTCCCCCTCCTGCTCCTGCTTAGTTCCCCTCAGCAACTAATGAATAACACCTTCCCCAGAATGAAGACAGATCTGAAAATATTGTGAAAAGATTCATGATCCAGCTCTGTGGGTTAGTTCAAGTGGGAGAAATCAGGTCACCCATTGCAACCCCAAGAAGGAAGCCTTCCCTTTTGAGATACCTTAGGAGCATCTAGACATGAGTCTAGATACACTCTATGTGCAGGCCTGAGCTTGTTGCCCAGCCTGAGGATAGACTGCATCCCCGTTGCTCCCCCACATAGTCAGATGTACGAGATGGAATATAGCAGGGAGCATGAGCAGATCAGAGCAAATCCAGTCTCACATGGTGAAATCACATGGTCTTCATTTACAAAGTAACTTTTGATCAATGTTGATCACAGGTGGTTTTTTTTTTTTTTTTTCTTTTCAGAATTAACATCAGGCAGCAATTATGTGAAGCCATTCGTTGCCTTTTTGTCCTAATCTCTCTGCACCAGCCCAATAAATGTATGCTTACTATTATATATACCTGTGTGTGCTGGGAACTTTACATGATCATCTCATCCAACCCTTACAGCAATCTCTTAGCATGATGCTCTTTGTCTCCATGTTGTCACCTGAGGCTTAGCCATGTTGTGTGACCTGCTCAGAGTGACCCAGCCATAAAGTAGCAGAGCCAAGAGCCCAGGGTCTGATGCTAAAACCTAAGCATGTATTCATTCCTCTGCACTGTCCCATAAGACACGATGAAACCTTTGTAAAGCAGTTAGATGGATCAAGACAAGGAGCCTCAGATATCTGCCTCGCTGAGTCCTGCTAGGGGAAGTGTTATATGTTCTCATAATATCTAACCCAACAACAGAGGCACACAACAGTGTCATTCTGTGACAGTCACTGTGCTTAGTACCGCAGCAGAAGTTGACATAAATAAGACAGCCCTTGGACCCAAGGGTATGCCATGTTTGAGTAATTTGACCTTGCTTGGCATATTGTCTCCAGAGTCTGCCCTTATCCAGAATCCTTCAATAGATCCTTGATCAAGTCCCCTCTGGCTTGGAAAATGAGAATGAATATCTTTACTAAATGTAGCTTTGTTCACTCGGTGGAGGAAAATAATGGACATATGAGAGGTTTGTGGCTTTAACTAGACTTGCAGGTCAAGAAGAAGGGTAGTGGGTACCAAAGAACTATTCCGAGAAGTCGGGAAAAACCAGCTTGCCAAAGACTTAGACTCTAGAGGGAAGAAGGTGGCCAGAAAAAAAGCTAGGGCCTTTTAAACACATGAAACGTTGGAGGTGCCAGCTTGGGGAACTCTCCACATTCTAATACCCCTGCAGACAGTGAAAAATGTGATTTTGAAAAAAAAATTTTTTTTTAATATTCTGGCAGAGAGAATGAACGATGAGGTAAGTTAGACATTGATATAGTACATTCAGGCAAGATTTTTTTTTTTTACTTTGGTCATGTTTGGTAGCATTTCTGTAAATGAAAAATTAAAGCATTTAGATGATGAAAACCAGAGAAGAATAGAAAGGTAGAGGCATAATTATTTTGTAAATCTCTGAAATCACGATGAGATACGTATATATATTAAGGGGTGGGGGTGCGAGAAGGAAAGGTACATTTAGAAGGTGCCTTTAATAGAACTCTAAAGAATACAAAAGAGTTAAAATCCTTTTACTTGAGTCACACCGCTGAATCATGCTCATTCTCTAGGAATCTAAACATTTCTATTAGGCACAAAAGGATGGCAGGCATGTGTGCAGTACCTGCTGTATCGTAGCAGCTGAGAGCACGTTTTCCCTCCCTTCCTTCTTGTGTCCCCGCCTTCCCATCTCACAGAGGAGCCTGAACAAGCCCTTTGGATAGATGTTCCTCTTACCCTCTGTTAAAAGGTGACCCGGGGCCTCCGGGGCCAGAATCACTGAAGGTGGAGAGACTCCGAAGAAACAAACTGGAGCAAAATGAGACCCATAAGTCATCTCGAGGTCTGCAAACAGACACCTCGGTCCAAACCGCTCTCTTCGGAAGAGGCAGCGGGTAAATTACATAATGCACAGCCCAATGATTTCCCGTAATGACAAAACACAATTGATTCGTTTACCTTAGCGCCGATGATGCCTCCTGACAAAATGATTTATATCAATAAAGCCCAGCACATGCGTGCACCTCACCACAATCTATAGCAGATGCGGAGCAAACTGCCTCGTTTACGTTCGCCCCACCCCAGAAGGCCCTTCCGCCCAGATTTACAGGCTGCGGGGTGACCCCCGGCCGGGGAACAGGAGGCCACGCGGCGGGGCCAGGGCACTGGCCAGGTGAGCAGCTCTCCACCCGTGATGGCCCGCACCCTGCTGCCAGGTCTCTCTCTGGGCTCTGCCAAAAAGCCCTGGGAGCCAGCCGCATGCTCTTTCGAACTCCCAGTGCGCGGATTCCCCACATTGAACTCATTTTCTTCTGAACTTACATCCAACTTTTTTTTTTCCTTGTGTTATCAAGCCCTGGGGGAACAGAGCAAAAAAACAGAAGGGGGGAGAAAGACCTTAGTGGAAAGGGCCAGAAGGAAAGGGAGAGCAGGAGGAGCTTACCAATGGCTTCCCTTAGCTGGCAAATAGAAAAGAAACCATATATGTACTAGGAGACATGATTTCTATTTTTCATTATTATTATTATTATTATTATTATTATTATTATTATTTTTGCCTAATACAAATGCAGGCAACAGGGAAGGAGCTAGGTCAGGCTCTCCTTCCCCCTTTTCGGAAAAGAAAGCTGTCCGCTGAGAGCGTACCCTGTTTCCATTCATCCTGGTCAGTTTGCTTCTATTTCCCCAGCCCAACCAACAATAAATAAGAGTTAGCTCACACTAACTTACCTTTGGTTCTTGGTATTAAAGACCCATGTCCCCCAAAATTTGACTGGCTCGTGCCGTATGATGTATTTCCCAAGACTGTTCAGCCTATTGGCTATCAGTTTGATGTCTCCAGCTTTGCAAACCTCTGATATGTGTCTGCTTGTTTTGAAATCTACTACCCATCTACTACTATCCTAAAGCTCCTCTCCACTTCTCTTGAGTGGCAAGAGCTGGATACACCAATTTATATCAAGATCAAATGAAGCTCCTAATGCTTGGCTTCGCTTCTCAGACTGTGGCTTATGCTGATTTATAATAACTATGGGTAAATGTTTTCCTGGACTGTTATTTTGGCTCAAAGATTTTGAGGTAAAAGATGCTCATAATAAAACACAGATCTATATATTTTAATGTGAATGATACATAGGAATGTTTTAAAGAAAGCCCAGATTTTTAAAGAAATTTCTACCTTGAACTTCAGGTTATACTCACAACCTACTCATTCATTCGTTCATTCATCATTCATTCATTCAGCAGAAGTTCACTCATTTATTCCACAACAAATATTTCTTGGATACCTGCTATGTGTTAAGGAACTATTTTAGTACTAGAAACATAAGAAAGAACAAAACCGATGAAAATCCATTTTCCTCAGGGGGCTTACATACTAATGTGAGGGACAGGCATGTATAGGAACAAAACATATAATAAAATAAAATAATATATGTGTCATATGGTGATAGAAGAATAGTAAGGCAGGAAGGAGATTGGAAATAAGTAAGGCAGGGAAGGAGAAGAATTGGAGATTGGGTTTGCTAGTCAAGGGTGCTGAAAGGTTAAAAAGGTTAGTAAGAAAAGATTTACTGATAAAACAGCATTTGAGCAAGCATCTAAGGTAGGTACAGGTGGCACACCACACACAAGTCAGGGAGGAGAGAATTCCAGGCATAAAGAACAGCAAGTGCAAAGGTCCTGTGGTAGATGCATTCTTAGCATATTCCTTGAAGAGCCAAGAAGCTTGTATGTGGTGGAGTATTGTCACCGATATTGCAGGATTTTATAAGGACTCTGGCTTTTAATCTCAATGAAATGAGAAGTCACAGGAGGATTTTCAGCAGGGGGAAGATTTGTTTTAAAGGGATCCCTCTATCTACTATGCTGGGAGTAGATTATAAGGAGTCCAACTGTAAAAGTAAGAAAAGCAGTCAGGAGGCCACAACAGTGAACCAGACCAGGGATGATGATGGACCATGGTAGTAGCTATAAAGGTGGTGAAAAGTGTTCCAATTTGGGATAATTGCATTTCTTTGAATATAAGATATCATTGCTTAAAAGATGTGCCATTATTTTATTTTAAAATATATTTTTATTGATTTCAGAGAGGGGGGGACAGAGTGAGAGAGAGAGAGAGAAAGAGAGAGAAAAGAGAGAAAGAGAGAGAGAGAAATCAATGATGAGAGAGAATCATTGATTGGCTGCCTCCTGCACACCCCACACTGGGGATCAAGCCTGCAACCCAGGCATGTGCCCTGACCGGGAATCGAACCACAACCTTCTGGTTCATAAGTCGATGTTCAACCACTGCATCATGCCAGCCAGACTGTACTATTATTTTATATATCACTGAGAGAAAAAAAAGCTGCCATTGAAATTATGAAACTATGAAACTATGACACTGCCTTCTGCCCACTTAGGGCTTTTATTTCATAGCTACTATGAGGCCTATTTTAAACTTAGATATATTTTAGCCTATACTATATTGCACTTATATATTTGGAAAAGGAAAATAAAACTGAAATAAATTAATAATTTGATTAAAAAAATTAAACTTTCTCTCAAACTTCAATTATTTTTAACCCCTTTAGACTCAGTCAATTTCCACATTATCAGGGTACTTGTGATTCAGTATTTTTAAAAGAATCCAAAAAGGAAATAAAGTCCATTAGTATCAGGCTCTTTTATTATAAATGATATATGATAAACTAGATATTTAAAGCATACAGTTTAGTTTGTTTTCACATGTACATATACCTGTGAAACCAGTACCATGAGCATATCCATTATCTCCTAAGTTTTCTAGTTCTCCTTGTA